TCTCAATTCCAGCTCCTTCTCAGCCCAGTTTATCTATGCATGACAAAGCAAAACTGATCCACACCAGTCCTATCCACATGTCAATGTGGACTAGACCTGCTCCACGTCATTCAGGAGTGTTTCAAAAAAGGAAACAGTTCAACTGGATATAACTGGATGGTTTAGAATCAGGGCTCCCTTTGAGCGGCTTCCAAAGTTCATTGCTCCACAGTTCTTACACAGATCTAACACGAGCTCCCAGACCTTGCCCTTCTTCAGACAGCAGAACCTCAGCTTGAGGCCATGGCGATCGGCGAACTATTCAGAGCATGGTACACATCCGCAATCACCAACGTGGCAATGTATATGCGCCATGGTAAAACTTCTCATGTGGGGCATGGTCACGGTTCCCTCCCTTATCATGGCTGTCGAAAGCCCCTACAAAAGGTCCATGACCGTCCCTAAAAACCTCACGTAAGCAGGTGCTTTGACCCTGGCACATATGAGAACCCTGTGCGTTGACAAGAAGAATCATTCGCCTGTGGTTGCTTGTTAGAAAATGAGTGAGACTCAGATTCCTTTTCCCCCCCAACCATTTCCCGGAACCTGTCCATTACAACCTTCTTGCACCCAGCGCCACTGAGTGACTTTGAATCGCCACTTTGACCAGCTCTGTTGCTCGCTTTCGAGCCACAAACACTGCATGCTGCCGGCCAACGCGAATAGCTGACAATCTATGGGACGCGCAAAGTCAGTCTGTGCCAATTAACATGAGGCTGCATTCTAAGATTAACTAGCAGTCGGAGATAGCTCTTCATTCGAAAGGTCACGGCATGCAGGTTCGGAGCTCCTAGAGTGCCCGCAGTAAAACAAGAATATCAATTGTAATTCAGACCCGTTCCATTGCACACAAGACTACACGCATACACCAAATCATTGTAGGCAGCGTCAGGTGCTGTGACAATGCTGGCTATTGGTTGGCAATGGGCTGACCTCTTTTCAGATATACTGGAAATGTACCGCGTTGGAATCTATTCTCTGCGATGATAGTCTGGGCTGCCTGCGATGCGACAAAGGTGATTGCTCTGCTGTCGGCGAGGATCCATCTTGGCTCCCTCACTCTTTGGTGGTGGCGTTCCACTTCTCTGTCAGGGGGTCGCCGCTGCAGTCCGTGTCTGGCACGGGAAACAAACAACAACTACTAGCATTCAACAATATGCATCAACATTTGCCCGTTGGGTAAATCTAGTACATGCATTCACATGCACACTCACGTCACTGGGTTGGTGAACGTTTTGACTAGACCCAATCACTTCTCCAGGTCCAGTCCATCGGTCTCTTTTGTGAAAGAAGTTGGTCGATCCTATCTAGAACACATACTAGTCATGCAAATCAAGGGCTCTCGGGCACCTCAACCCAGTGTGAAGCAACACATCCGTTTGTGGCCAAAGTGAATCCACACCCTTGGCACTGACCACTTCGTTTTGCGCGGCTTCAAGGGCTAGGGCTGGTGTCCCTCCCCAAAACCCGCGCTCAAGGTCGCCAGCTTCACCGGTCCTTTCACCTGAGTGATGCGTCAAACCAATCAGAAGGGGCCATTTGACCCAATGCCAGAGGTTCAAAATAGTGTTGCTAGGATGCTATACCACAGTCAATAGTATTCAATACAGTTGGGGTCATTATTTTGACTGCTTCTGGGGGTTATCAAACTCAGAAAATGGGGCTGTTTCCCTTCAACCCGCCCAAATAGGGGGTGACTTTGATCAAAATAATGAGGCCTGTACAGGTGAAGAGCACCTGAGGCTACAACAGCCAACATCCGTGGCGTGGCAGCGGCTGCAAACCGGACCTGAGGCTGGAGGCCCTTTGTTCAAACACCTCTGCCCAGCCCGCGCGACCCGACAGAAAGCCCGAAGGCATCAGCAGGTTAGAAAGGCTCGTCCCGCTTCCCGTGCGTTGCATGTGGAAACTGTGCTGAGGGTTCCCACACTGGTCCATGACGTCCCAGTAGGCTCGCAAGCAGCCATCTTTCCTGGCGGCAACCCAATTCTTTTGTAGACCGTAAAGCTGAAGCTAGTTACTAGTTATGTATAATATACGCAGGTTGTCAAAGGAAGCTGATGCCAATCGTGGCCTCTTTAAGCAACACAGGGAGCTTGCTCACAAGTGCACCCAAAAGGCAGCAAGCATCAAGCATACAGGCTGTGTTTCCAGCACATACTCAATGTTGTATTGCTCAAAGCTCCATTTGGACGAGGCAGGTGCGCCAGGGTTCACTTGAATCTGAGTTGCAGGCTCTTTGGAATATGACACCCGATGGCGGAAAGCCATCCTTGCCTGAGCCAGTAACTTGGCTGGGGCGGGCTCTTGATGATTTCTCTCTGAGTGCTCTCAGGGCTTGGCTTGACAAGTGAGTGTCACGTTGCGGTAGAGGCAGGGCGCATTGCAGCCTCTTGACGACGGTGACTTGCAGCAGAAAAGATCTGAATCTTAGGTATGCCGACCATTGGGAATATGCCATCAATTGTGGCTCGAACTCTGACCTTCTCGCCTTGTGCCTACCACCATACTGCTCGCCTGATTGGATGCAGCGAACGTCAGCCAACGCCGGAGAACGTATCCGGAAATGTGCATTACCCCCCAACCATCTGCAACGCCCTTTCTTTCAATCTGATGTGTTCAGCTCCTGAGGATCGGGCCCATGGTGTACGGTGCGCAATAGTAAGGCGCATTCCTACCTCGGCCGGTGCTGCGGTGCTTCTGCAAAGGCTAAAGCAAAGTGCACAATCCCAGAAGCCCTCCAACCAGGGATGTAAACAACCAGTCACAAGGACAACTGCACTTGTGCCATGAAGTCATGAAGCACCATACAATCTCAAACAGTGACCGAAACACGCCTGAGATGCTTTGGCAGAATTTCGCAACCGATGGCATGCTGGATGACCGAGATGTGCTGCCCTTAGCTTGGGGCAGCAGTATGCGCGCTTGGAAATGTCCCAATCCTGGCGAACATTGATTGGTGCAGGCAACAACTGTGCTGCATGGTGCTCATGCAATGCGTGAAAGGCTTCAGTGTGGGGCTTGCCGCAAGCATGGATACTCTTTGTGAGATGATGCCGGCTTTGTGTCCGCATGACCCAATTCAAGCGGAGGTGTGCAGGAATGAAGATGCAATGGAAGTACTCTGAATCTGGGATAAGGTTGTCGGATAATGAAAGCGAGCTGCCTTCCATTCCCATCTGCACAATGTGGGCTTTGCAACAGAAGCAACAAAACATGCAGAAAGTAAAGAAAGCTGGCTCTGGAAGCCCAAGAAGCTACACACATGCCGCCAAACAATCTTGGAATACAACAATACTGTTGAAAGTCAAACAGCTTTCAGTGTTTGCGTGGAGTTCGTTGTGTGGAATGCCACCAAATGAATTATTTGGATGATGATATGACATGCTTGTCCCGCATCACCCTTTAGAGTGCTATAGTATCACGGACTGGACCCTGTTCTACAGAAAAAGCAGTATGTAACTTCGTGGCCCGAGGCTACCAAAACAGATCAGCGAAGATGCTCTATTTGCCCTTATGGTTCTTCCTCACCCCGGTGTGTCTTGCCCACTGCCACCGGAATCTGCGTGAAAATCGATTTCAACCCATCGGGCCCCAGGAGGATCGCCCAACTTTTACACTGGATAACCTAGGAACCCCTCCAGTCTACTTACTTGTTACCTAGACACACGTCGTGGTGGCACATGAAGCAAATCGATGCAACTCCTTCAAAGGTTGGGGCTTGCTGCGGAGGATTCCTGTCTTGGAGCAGTTCCCCTGTTCAGTCCTCCGGCTTCTGCATGGTGCAGTCATAGGCAGTCCTCAATGTTTGTGTTGGGGAGGCCAGGAAGAAAAGCCGGTCATAACCGCCATGCCCAAACTCTCTTGCTCTCTTGCCAGGCTCGGACAAGTTTGTCTCACGTCGCACTTTTAGCCATGCCAGGTGTTCAGTATTCTGCCCGGCTATCACACAAAATCGCGCATCAGATTCTGCGGCCTTTGTTGCGTGGGAATGGCACAACTTGGGGCATGGCGCCAGCAGCGGCCAACAAAGACCTAGGTGAAAGGAAGGCAACAGCAGGACGCATGCAGCCAAGTTTCTAGCTACGGGATAGGGGCCACCCACAAGCCCTCTGACAAGCCCTGTGAATCTACCGGGATGAAGAACCTCGAGTGCAAGGCCCCAAAGATTTCAGAGAACAACAACAACACTTTCAGTTCAAACGCATCACTTTGCCGACCGGGAGATTCGTTGATGCCCAACATCGCTTCTGGCGCCCTTCTAAAGGCCGAGCCCCATATCCAGCGCTCCGCCATCAGGCCACAGCCCAAACAAGGGCCGGTGTCGTGATTGCCCAACAAAAGACTCGATTTGACATAGGCGTGCCGGAATCTGCCCAAATGGTATGTATTCCAAGGGCAAAGATTGGGAGCTTGCGCGACATGCTAGGGGCACTCTGCTGACTGATGTGCGATTGCGCAGCCTGTTTGGGATCTGCATGACCTGTTGGAGCCGTCAAATCACCACTCTTTCTTCGGACAATCTCATCAGCCAACACTGGCTGGGCTGCTCTGTCGTGCTCCAGAATTTAGGCCTACGCCCACCGGCCGAGCGTGAATGATGCATGCACGAGCTCTCGGCAGTCACGTCAGGCTCCGAAGAGAACGCAAGCACACTGGGCTGAAAATATGATTGCTCATTGCAAAGCCACACTCTTGCTTCAGGTCAATTTGTCAAATTGACCAACAAGTATCCACAATTTGTGTTTGCTGACTGGATGACACCATTTGGGTGTGTCTTCTTTTGAGGGTACGCTTTTTGTAGTTTTTAAGTGAAACCAACAGGAACCCCAGCCCTTCTTGGGGTCCCCTAATAGAACAAGCACCAGCACACCCCATTCCTCTTCATCCTGGCTGGGAAGCCGATGTCGCCAATGTCGCCAGGCAATGAGTCCGCTTGATTCGGCCCACCGCTCCGTCGCCTGAAGTTGCCATACTCCTCCTGGAGCTTCTGCAGCTGTAGCTGCAGCTGCTCCGCTCCTTCCTCGTCCTGGCAGAAAGAAAGAGATGCTCACAAATCCCAAGCACACCCCACACACCAAGCATCTCCAGAACCCCAAAGTGAATCATGCTTGGTGGCTTTCTGGAACCATGGCTCGAACTGTTCTGCCGGCGCAGCTGAGTCGAGTCCTTCTTTTTCTTTTTGAACCTGGGCAACGTGGCTGACACTTTCACAGTTTGCTCCTTACAGCCCTTGCATGGCAGGTCCGGCAGAATGGTAGTAGTTTGACCAACCAGGGATCACCCGTTGGTGATTCAAGATCCTTCAACTGATTGATCACTGCGGGAGCAACTCAATGATCCGCGCACTAATGATCTCGTTCTGGATTTGGGCTCGATTGGAGTCGTTTTACAACAAAATCGAAGAAATTCAGAGAGGGACCAGCTCGTTTTGCGGCACTTTGTGCGTTCTGCGCTTTCAAGCTCCCAAATCGCACCTTTTAAGTCAAGTGATGTCAAGTGTAGAACACAAAGTACACTTGATCGGTGGCTGCAGTTTTCAGTACAACTGTGTGAAGTGAGTACGCAAAGCGCGCATGGGCAGCTCCAGCTAAAGTCACACTTTATCCGTGCAATATGCAAAGTGCGCTTTGGCAATGTCTCACTTGTGTAGCCATAGTACTCATTCTGGACTCGTTTCTGGACTGTTCCGGGCTCGCTTTAGTTTGTTGCTTGTTGCGAACCCCAAAGCCGGCTGCAGGACGTTCAAGCCTCTGCATCATCAAGGCTACGTGGTGTCATCCTGCTTTGCATGGTTTCCTGAAACACTACCTTATTCTGAACTCGCTTATTTGCGGGGGGGACACGGGCACATCTCAACTTACGTGGTCGGTCGCTCATATGTCTGTGATGCATTGTGATACATCTCACATAGTGAACAAGCACTTAGGCCATGCGGATGCATGTATCTCGTTGAAGTTGACACACGTGCCCGCAGTTTGGCTTGCAGTAGATGATGCTATTCCATGATGTTTGATGCATCACGATGATCCTTGATGCGCGCTGGACCCTTTTGGAACCCTCTGACGTATGGGTGCCAGTCATTCGCAGATGCATGATACGGATTAGTTCGGTTGTATCCAGATAGCAATTGCTTCAAATGCACAAAAGGGACGCTAGTCTGCGGATTCCAGCTTGCTCTTCTTTGGACTTGCCTTAAATGCGCATGGCAAATTGAAACAACATATGTGAATCGCACTACACCTGGAGTCAACCAGAACTGGCACTGCGACACAAGGCTGTCTCAAAAGCCAATCAAGGCGATGTCCTTTTCTTGCCTTTGGAGCCAACCACAAACCCCCACAAGTGTGTGCGGCAAATAGACTCCTAGCCACGAGGTCAGACTACTAAGGGTATCGGCCAATGCTTGGGTTGGGGTATCGGTTGGGCAAGGCTGCGCTTGGGGAACCAATGAGCCTTGCAATCACAGTTCTGGACTTTTGTCCCTCCACTGGTCTATGCTTCTGCAGGATGCCTTTCAGTGGAAACACGATCTTTCGGTTCTCCCGGACGCCCCAATTGTTTGACGTTTGACAAGTCCTATCGGTTTAGTGTTTCCAATGCTATGTCCAATATAGTCATTCATCGATAATTGTGTAGGGCAGTCTTAGCAATCTGAGTTCGCGGCATTGCCCCAGGCCCGTATCAGGGAAAGCCATGGGCGACCGATCAAAAGGATCAACTCCCTCAGCATTCAATATGTTGGACTAGCTGCCAGAGATTGATATTCACAAAAGCACACACACACACACCAAGTAAAAGGACCTGCGTGTGGACAAAAGTAGCTCAATGAAGCATAACTCATGACCGTCAATCATCTGACCCCAGTGAGCAAAGGTGCTGATGCCATCCATGGTTTAGCTGTTGGCTCTAAGACTCGGCTTGCAAATAATTAGCCAGCAGAAGCGGTCGTCGTTCGGGACTGCCCACGACCACTTAGCTTGTAAACTTTATGCGCGCACAAAAGCGCTTGCCACCTCCACAGGGACCCGAGCCCCCTGCTAGCAAAGGGCCGTACAGCTCCCGATTCGTTCCCCGTTTGACCAATTTAACAGAGACTCCAGTTCAATTGGCCAACACATACTGCCGGGAACAAAGACCAAGCTCAAAGAGATGCAAACGCCAGGCACTTTTGCTGTCGGCCGTTCATGCATCTACTCTCGCTTCTCCCAGCGCATCTTTACTGCGTTCGGGCGGATCAGCTGACCTTTCCTCAGCCCGACCACAAGCGTTGAGGCTGGCCAGGCGAAAGGCAAGATGTCTGTTGTGTGGTCAAGCAAGCCAAATGCACGACAGCTCAAATTGCACAATTTCCAAGGGTTTAATTTGAAGATGGTCTCCGTCTTCCGGGAGGGGGCTGACTCTGCCGAGACACACTTCGCCAATCATGGGTTCCGGGAAGCCGTCACCTCCCGGCGACACCTTGTAGCGCTCCAGCACACATCCTACGACTGCGGGCAGAATCCTTGGCAATTGGCACGCCCGCCGGCGCCCATCTCAACGATCTAGCACATCAGAAACTGCCCCAGAATCGACCAATAGGTTCGTTCATTGCATCAGTTTGTGCCCATCCAAACAGAATGCCCTATGTGCGGTGATTTTCTGGTTTGCTCAAGCGAATGCGAGCGATATTTGAGCGCCTAAATCTGGCCCAGGATCGCTTCTGCTAGCGGCCGCCCCAGGCAGCTGCGTGGGCCAATCCCAAAGGCATACTTTGAGAAGTCCTCCTGACCAGATTCGCTGAACGCCAAACAAACGCAAGCTAGCCAAAGCGTGCAAGCCAGGACGCATTGTGACCATGAACCTTGTGCTGGCTTTCGTTGCCTGCATGATACAAGAGTTGGAATCATTCAGACTGATTGAAGATGGCCTCAAAAAGAGGTGTCATTGCTGTTTGCTCCATCCCAATAACCTAATTCTGATGGGCAAACCCCCGGAAGACGTAGCATCTCCTCCACAGGGCTTCGGTCAAGAGCCATGTCCACCACGGCAGGATGCAGCGCAAAAAGCAGCGCGCCCTCAGGGATCAGCAGGTCGTCCTTAGCCCATGCCGTTTGCCGCAAGGCAACAAGGTGGCTGGAATGCGGCATGTGCCCACAGCTGTATCCCTCGTCTGCACGATATGACAAATCACTGCGAGTTCTCTGCCTGTCAACAAACTTGTTGTGAATGATTATCCCGCTTTCCGAACGCCATATCAAACCCGGGGGGCCACACTGGGTGCCTTGTGATCCTCTTGCAATCCATGACTCGACCACTGCATCGGCCAGGACTTTCCTTGGAGGTCCAAGAGCCACCGAGTAGGCGTTGCTGCGAAGTGCTCCTGGGAAACCCTTTGCGATTAAACATGGCGGGTGGTCAAGGAAATGGCTTGGACCAAAACTTGAGCTTGTGTACAACGAGAGGCCCGGCAAGATTCGTAGGATGCGACACGCAAACGCACATGGTGGCGTGGCAAACCTTGAAAAATGAAAACAACGAGAGGCGTCAGAAGCTGTCTTAAAGCACCTCTGGGTTCTGCATGCAGCGTGTGCAAAGATTCTTGCGAGGTGGCTTACCGAGAAGACTGAGGTCTCAAATGAACAGGCTGAATCGGTGGAACATGTAAAAGTTCGTAGCACCAAGTCCAAAACGGGCAAACCGAGACTGCTGAACACTGAGCCACTGCCCGGGGGGGGGGGGGATGGACCAGGGAGGAATCGAGCCTGAGACCCCCGGGGAGGGGGGGGCTCTAAATAATTGATGTTTTGCAATCTTTTCGGCTCAAATAATTGAAAAAATCGATCTTTCGGCATTTGAGCCCCTTACCTTGCTTACGCAAGGAGAAACTTCAGCTAGCTAAAGCTAGCTTTCGTGATAAACACGAACACACACACACACAGAAACACACACACACACACACAGAAACACACACACACACAGAAACACACACACACACAGAAACACACACACACACACAGAAACACACACACACACACAGAAACACACACACACAGAAACACACACGCAGAAACACACACACAGAAACACACAGAAACACACAGACACACAGAAACACACAGA